GCAGCCTGTAATGTGGAAGTAAAAGGGATGGGGAGAAAAGAAGCAGGTGGTGAGAGGATGCCTGTACAAGAGAAGTGGAGCACCACTCATATTATCTCTCCTAAGCCCCCTGTTTTCCCTCCCTCTAGAGATGGCTGTTATTTCAAGTGGGCCCCGAGGTTTGGAAAAAAGATCTGGTATGTGTGTGAGGAGCAAGTATGCAGAAAATTGCTGTGCTGTATGTAAACTTAGCATGGGAGTTTATAACTGAGATGTACGGTGATGTCTTCAGTTGAGTTTGGCTCTGAAGCTTTGGGAGACATAGCAAAATACTTGTGTGCCAGCCTACAGAGGCTGGTATAAAAATAAGTAAATACTTGTAAAGGATTGTCTTCATCTTGCTTCGTGCTGTTCTTGAGCACTTCTCTAAACTTTAGATGTTCTTGAAGAAATTGCTCTTCCTTAGCATAAAAAGCAATACTTAAGAAATTTAGACAGAAGTGGTGCTGCCTCTCCAGAAAGGAATATTAATATAAATATTTGGAGTGTCCAGTTAATCTGGCAGGATTGTGACCAAGGCATGATACTGTGCCTGTGTGCATTTACACTGTAATTATGAATGGTTTGTTCTGTGAGAGAGTGTGATGGCTTCAGTACTGCCTTTTTGTTATAAATACAGTGTCTTCTGGGCTGTTGTTTAAAGACTCCTTTGGAAGCCTGATTTAATAGTGGAGCTGAGTGAATAATTCAAAACCTTTTTATCAAGTCCTTGTTTAAATTCTTAAATGAGCTCACCATAACCTTTTTATGTACCCCTCCTGCATGTGTCATACAAATATTAGAATAATTGAATTTTACTAGTGCAAATGTTTCTGTGAAGCAAATTTTTAGAGCTTGATGTATGACTGTTTATGTAAAGGGGAATGTAAAATCTCACACACCAGTGTCTATGCCAGAAACTTGTGCTGGCTTAGGGGACGGGACCCTCTGCTTTGTTGGAGCAATTCTAACTGAGCTGGTTTGTCAGATTGACTCGTTTTGCAGTTTAAAAGCTGAACACATGTATTTAAAGGAATTTCAGAGATATCTCTCTTTCAGGCCATTCTACAAACAGTAGCAGTACTTAGTTTAAAATATTTGCCTTTTTAAATTTTTTTTCAGATAAGTACTATTTCTGACTCTTTTTCCTTTTCTCCCCCCTTTACATGAGATGAAACAGCACATTCAAAATGCATCTGCTTAGCATCACTGGGTAGCTTAACACAGGGATGCAGACCAGAGAAAATCTATAGTCACCTTCCAAGTTTGGTCATCTCTTGGCTTGAAGTCCAGTCCAGGCTAGAGGAGAGCATCCCAGATAGGTAATTTGGGTGGATTTAGTATGGCTGCTCACATGTATTAATGTTTGCAGACTTGCTTGTAAAAGCTCATTAGTGTTAAGTCACTTTTGAGTACTGATGCTCTTTAAAAGGCAAATGATAGCCTTAGAACCAGGATATCTGGAGAACTGGTATTCATTTGTCTGCTGCTTCTGAAGAAAAGTGGAAGACTTGAAAATTGAAAGCCATCTTGAGAAGCAGGGGTTGAGGATTAGGTAAGCAGCTGAGTGATGCTGTATTCTCAGTGGAGAGTTGTTGTTTAATTGGTTACAAGAATTTAGTCGAGGCTGTTTATTCTGTTTGCACACAAACCTCCTGTAAATGCTCTGGCAGCCCTCTAACCTTCCTGGCACCGCTGAGCCTGTGCTGCAGCTTCCCTCGGAGAGGAGATGGAGAACCCGTACTCTTTCAATGCATCACGAGTTTGCAAAGCCTGATTTGCCTGTACAGGGTTTGCTCTCTGAATTTTGGATTTCTTTGCTGATTTTTCTGAACTCTGCTGAAACCACCTTTAACCATCTAAATGTCGTTACCATAGAACTGCCCAGGAACGTGCTGAACTCCAGCCACTGCTGATGCCTCATGCCCCTCGCAATGTATGCAGAAATCTGGAATTGCAGGCTTGTGTGGCAGAGCAGATTCTTGCAGTGACAAAGAAACTACTATTGAAATATTCTGTTGCCTTCAGTTGCAGCTATCCCAAGTCTAGCAGTACAGATGCATCTGTGTATCCATAGCCAGGCCTGTGAGAAACATAACATGGTCTTTAGAAGTAGGAACTTTTGGTTTTTGGGGTTATAAAGAAAACCCCGAATCCTAAGCCCCAGCATGATCACAACAACCAACCTTGTATTTGCAGAAGACGGGCAGTGAAATGTAAGAGCCAAGTAAACCTGTTCTTTTTTTGGCCTTTCTGAAACTGTCAGATGTGTAAAGTCATATTTTAACTGAACAAAATTAGTTGCATCCAGCTCTATCACAGTGGGCATGGGCCTCTTGTTGTGGTTTTCTTGTAGTCTGTCAGCTTGAGTGGGAAGACTGTTCAGACTTAGTGTGACTTCCTCACATCAGCTGTTGCAACTGGTGCAGTTGGGTCTTAATCAAGCTGAAAAGGGACATCTAGTCCATGCCTCTTCATTTCCTTGTAATGCAGTGAATATGAGCTGTAATTTGCCAGTGTGGGTTCCTCAGACCTGAAAACAAATGAGAAGTTTTGGGTGGACTTTTGTGGCTTGTTTTTAATTAAATATTGGTGCAACAAGAGTTGTTTTGTGACAAGAAAGACCCAACAATCTTCCCAAACATGCAGAACAAGCAGGCTATGTCTTGTCATCCCATTACGACATTCCCACTGTAGGAAACACCCTTTGTGCTTTGATAAGCTTGTCCTTATTCATGGAGTGAAACTGTAAATTAACATGTACAATTGCTTTTGTGCTTGAGGTTTATAACAGTACATTGTCTCTTCAGGTTTGTGTTGCAAAGCCTGTCTGAAGATAGATGAGCAGTATTACCCGTATTTACTATGGGGGAATCTGACACTTGGCATCTTTTTCTGAGATACCCACTAAATCTGAGTGTTTGCAGAGTTTGCTGTAGTTTATGATTGAAGTTGGTGATTGCTCCCACTGCAGCACAAAGTGGGGAGAGCAGATGCCAGCTGAGCTTTGCCTTGAGTGATGCGTCTGAAGACTGGATGGAGTAATGATGAGGTATAGTTGAGTTATTTTCTTTCTTTTAAAGCTGCATTTGATTTTCTGCTGTGGGTATTTTGATTCTTGTTTATTTTTCTCCTTCGTTTGGAGAAGAATAGTCTGGGAGAGGGGAAGGAAGAGGCAGGGTTTACCCCTGTAACCATCATTGTTAGCCCTAACTTCTGGTAGAGCTTTGCTGCTTTGGCTTGACCTTTTTAAACTTGAGAAATGTGTTTTTGTTTGCATTTCCATCTTGTTGCATTTAAAAACTATTCTAACTATACCAGAGTGTTTGAACATTAATGGGGGAATGTTTTTCAGAGTCTTGATAGAATTTCCAGGCAGCTTTTCATCTGCCAAGTACTGTACTGGGCTCTCTTGTGGGGTTTTGCTTGGTTTGCCTTAAGAATCTGCAAAGCAACTGTTCAAAATTGCTGACACATGTTAAGTAATTTGGAAATCACCATCCTTCTCCATTGATGTCTGAGAGTGCTCATGTTGGCAATAAGAACAGGATCTGACCCTGAAAATGATTTGTGAACAGTCTTAGTCTTGAGACCATTTTTAGGCGGTGTCTTCCCTCTGATTCTGGCTAGTTTATCCTTACGGTCTTAAATATTCTATTTTTTAAAAAAAATTATTTAATCTCTTTAAAAAATATCCTCTTCTGCCTTTTCCATGTATTTTTGAATTATTCAACCACGTGTGTATTTGGTGATGCCAACTTAAGATGAGTATCAGGAGAATTAATGCTACTTCTAACAGTAATGGTAGTGGTATAATGCTTATTAATGAAAAATCCATCATCTTCCACCTCCCTCCTCCAAACCTCTACTTTTCAACTTTGGAGCAGCTGTAATCAGCCTGTACAACTTCCCTTCCTCCTCTCATGAATAAATCCAACTACCTTATCTTCTCTATCGGAAAGTCTTCCTTGGCTTTAACAGCCTCTGGAGGAGCATATAAAAGGGGCTTTCACTGGCTAACAGGAAGCAAAATGAATGGAGGAACTTTTGATAATGCCCCTCTGTCTGAGGGGGGGATCAACCCGACTAAATTGTACCAGATTAGTGAATGATAGTGCTTCAGCCAGGGCCAGAATTATAAGTTTTTAATCTTGGAACAAGCAATGATTTCTTCCTCCTAAACAGTGGTCAACTCCCTCTTTGATTTGGAGCCTTGCAGTCATCCATATTCAGTTAGTTTGGGTGTGTGGTTTCTGGTTTCTTTTCTTTTTTTTTTTTTTTAGTCTGCATTCATGAGTCTCAACAAGCCTTGAGGGCTTTTTTTGGTAGCAGTGATTTTTGGTAAGACCTGTCGTGGCCACATGCCGTTTTTACCAGCAATTCACACTGTGCCTTTTATTTTTATGCGATAATGAAGTCTCATATATCACAGCTTTCTTAATATTGTTCTGTCTTTTGCTGCCTCAGAGTCTTTTGCCATTAGCCCTGGGGTGATTTGGGGATATTTTTAATAAGCAACATTTTTGATTCTGGCCACCTTCAGCCTTACTCTCTGTGTGTGTGTGTATGTGTGTGTGTGTGTGTATTTGACTCCTCGCTTCTCACCCCACAGCTTGGTCCAAATTTTCTGATAATCCAACTCGGTGGGAGGGAGAAATGACTGAAAATCTAAATGGGGCAGCTTAGCTAATTGCCTTAGGCCTGACTCGTCTGCTGGATAACACTAGTTTTATTGCAGTCCAATGTGATTGACATTTGGGGAATTGCACTGGTATAATGCTGGCAGCAGCAGTGAAAAATCTGCCCTATTGTTTCTGATACATTTGCTGCCTGAGGAGCACCTTTCTGTTACAAATAACTATCTGAAATGCAACTAATGGAATGAATGTACTTCTTTTTCTTTAAATCGCTTACTTTTCATGTTCCTGAGAAAAAAGTGAGAGCATTACTAAAACTTTGCCTTTTTCTGTGGTTTTTTTCAGGCTTTTTTTCTTGGATTTTATTATTGGAAAACTCTCTAATGACAACATTGCTTAGGTAAGTGGAGCAAGTTTTTTTTCTGTGGGTTTTTTTGTTTTTTTTTTTTTTTTTAGAATCACTTCCCCTATCTTCTCTGCGTGTTGTGTTGTAACGTTGAGCTGCCAGCCAGCTGTGCTGCGTGTGCTGTGGTTAAGGCTAGAAAGATGTAGTAAACAAAAGTAGGGGTAGTGCCTCTAGTATGACATAAGGATCTCATTTATTCATTTAATCAAATGAAGTGGACGTGGTGCAGAATAATGAAATACAGCTTTCATCTGCATAGTCTCCATAGTCTCACCAATTTATAAAAAAATTTTTCAGGAGATACTCTGCCTTTTTTTTTTTTCCACTAGAAAGTAAACTTGCTGGTATCACTTAATGCCATTTTGTTATGAAATGAAACCTTAATACTTCCAGATTTTTAGATACAGTTGCTCTTCCTCCATCCCTTTCTCTTCCCTGTTTCCCTCAACAGTTCTAGGCAGGAGTTTCTGACATGGAGAGATCATAAAAAGCTTCAGAGTTTTATATTTTTTTAGCCCAAAAGATGGAAGATCCCAAACAAATTTAACACTCCCCTTTCATCTCTAAACCCCATCTATACCACTAAAATGCTAAATTCAAGCTGATAAGTGATTAACAGGGTTTCTGAGTGTTGATTGCAAGCACATGGTCTTTGCTTCTTCTAAATACCTTCTCAAACCCAGTTTCTGTGCTGTTCCATAGCACAGGGACATTCTCCTGAGTGCAAATCCAGTGCCATGGTGCCTTCAGTGATGGGTGGAAGAATTAAGTGTCCTGCTATACCAAAATGGACTTTGTTCCTTTCTCTGTGATGGAGAGTAGATTTGATTGACCTCTGATGCAAGACAAAAAGTTAATCCCCAGATACGGGCTAATTTGATGTATTAGTTGGAATTGCTTGTGATTCTGGATGAGGCCAAACAGTGACTGCAGTATTCACACAGGAATATAGTATCCTAAAATCTGTGCTGACAAAGATAAAAGTGCTGCTGCTCTTTGTGAAGTGCCTGTGAAAGGGTTTTATTTTTTTTTCTCTCTGCTTTCTGTTGCTGGGTCTGTAGCAGTACCCATCCTCTTTCTTTTTTCATCTCCTTACAGTGGATGGTCAGTGTGGAAGCTACTGGCCTCTGTACCTTGAGATGATGGACCTCAGTGAAATAAAATTGATTCAGTCTTAAAGCAGAAGTCTTCTCCAATCTGCTTATCCCCGGTGTTTGTCCCTCTTCAGGAGAGTGAATAGGTCTTTAGCCTGAAAATCTCATTTTAGCCAAATAGAAAACTCCAGAGAGGCTTTTGGGTTCTCTTGAGGTTTACATTTAGGTAGCTTATCTGAATTTATCTCCCTGCCATTCCTTTGCTGAGGTACTGTGAACTCAGACTATGTGGTGTTGCAGGGCTTTTGTATTTTCCAGAAAGACACAGGAACTGGCTGGTGGCCTCCAAGCTGTGGGTGCTCCAACAGAGGTGGACCTTGTAGTTCTGGCAGATGGTCTGCCTGGTGGTTTGCTAAACTGCAAGCTGGAGAGGGCTGTAAGACAAAGCTGGATGTGCTGGCAGCCTTTGCATTTTACTAAATCACAGAAAAGACCTTAGCAGAACCATGTGTAGTACGTGTCTGAGGGAGATTGTTGCCTGTGATCCATCACCGTGTTGCCCGTGAGATGCTCTTGCCTGTCACAGAGCACTTGTGGTTCCCCCATGTCTCCCTCAACTGCTTCAGGAGTGACTAATTTCCAGCCTAAGGCTGTATTTATTGATGCCACTGCCTGTCTAGAGGGTGGAGAGGACTCTGTAAACCAGGGAAGTATTTAGGCAGCAGTTTTAAATCCTTTTAACTTTGTATATTAGACACATCTATGAATATATGCAGACTGAGCTAATAAATAACCAGGGAATGGTAGTTAAGAGGAAAGGACATAATTAATTCTGTCATGTACTCTGCTTTAAAGTTGGGTCCAGAGCAGTAATGTGTTAGGTTGGGAAGGTAAACACTGTCATTATTCAACAACAAAACATGTACAAGGCTGACACTGTTTTCCTCCTTTTGATGTAATAATTTTTTGCAATGGTTTGAATATCTTCGGTGGTCTTTGTTTGGGGTGGTGGAAGCCTGTTGAAGCCGTACCCTTTCCGAAGGGTCAGTGCTCCTTTATTTGAATTGAGTTTTGTATTAATGCTGCTTTGCTGACACAGAACGTGTGCTGTTCCAGAAGGCTCTTACTGTTTGCTGTGGTTGGGGTGCTTGGCTGTAATTCCTGCAATATAGTTTGGAGGGAGGTATTTCTGTTTCATCAGGTGATCCCTTTTCAGCTCTCCACACTGCAGTGTTAACCCAGGTCAAATGTCCGTGTAAAAAAAAAAAAATCCTTTTTGTGGAGATGCTGTTAAAAAGCCAATATGAGTCTGTTAACTTGTATATCTTTTTTTTTTTCCCTTCCCTCTACACCAGAGTTGCAGAGAAAAAGTTTGACTACAGCAAATGCAACTTTATGTGGTCCTCAAGGTTAACGTGTTTGGGTTTTTTTAGTGGGGAAAGGAATATGGGGGAATCCTTGCTTTGCATCTTAAAACATTTAAAGCTGCTGTGAGAATGATGGTATCTTAGCTAAATGGAATAACTGTCGTTAGTTGTCATGGTAAAAAGTTACATAAAGCAAGGTAGTTAACTTTTGAGCTTGCATGATAACTGATCATAGGAAAATAAACAAGTGATTGTAGTTTCAAGCTCTCCCCTTGTTATTTCTCACAACACAGCCTTTCCCCATTCCTTCACACTTCTCATTTTAGCAAATTTCTTAATGTGTAGTTAAACACACTGCAAAAAAACAAGCAAAGACTTCATACACCTATTCTTGTCTTAATGGTGCTCCACACAACCCAGCCTAAGTATCAGAAGATCACTTGAGTTTGCATAAGTGAAGATACATGTCTCTGAAAAGGGTTGGTGTTGTGCAACCTCTCAGTGCCTCTTCCTGTGGAGTTTTCTTACAAGTTTTGCAGTTTTGGCTCTTCCAGCAGAAGTCTTGGGCAAAAAACACTCATGGAGACACCAGTGGAATAGCTGATGCAGCTCAGCAGCCACCTCCTAAAATAAATGGTGGAAGGTTGCCTGTTTCTCTTAGCAATATTTTCTTTGGAAGTCAAGCATCTCCTCAGCATGTCCTTGGCTCTCTGTCTCTCCCTAGCAAACTATAGCACTGAATACTCCTCCTTTCACTGGTCACAGCTCAATTTAAATGTTCTTGATTAAAACTATTTCTGTGCTCCTTCAGGATTTATTGCTTCTGATTGCAGATAGCTTGCAAAACTCCCAGGAGTTCAGAGCAGAAGGGAGTCCTTCCTTTGTAGGGATCCAAAAGAAGTTGCATGTTGTCAACTTGCACAAGATCTTTCTTCAAAGTATGAAAAGTTTTTTTTAGGGGGAGGGATCTGTTAGAAAATTATTAGCCCTTGGTGGGTGGCATGAGCAGCATTGACTGGAGGGGCTATTGTTCTGTGGTTCATGTGCTGTTTATTTTGCAGCCAGTGATCTTTTTGTATTGCTGAGGCAGATGGAGGGATTCCCAGTTCCACAAGCATAACCCTGGGAGAGATTAGTTGGTTTTAGGTTTCACCACTTGGATGATGAGGTTAGCCTGAGACAGAGATGCATCCCTGTGTGTGGAAATGGTCTTGGCCCAGATCTTGTCTGGCGATGTAAAGCCTGAGAAAGGACCAAGAGGTCAACTTCAGCTTTTTAAAGAATGTGATGTATGTTCATCTTGTGGCATGCATGGACTGTGCTTTTTTGTTTCAAAAAGGGTAAAAAATTTAGTTACAAGCTCATGTGTTTTTTTTTCAATGCTCTAATTAGAACTACAATTAGCTCTGAAGTAGAGCCTACCTTACAGCTACATAAATATTTATATCTGTGATACTGAAACACTAATGATAAAGAATCTCAAGGGGTTTTTTGCATAGCCACAAAGCAAAGAACATTTCTGTCAGTCTCTACCTCTTAGCACCTTTCTTCCACTTTACCTGATTCCCTCCTACCAAGCTAAGCAACATTTTAAATCTGAACACACCAGGACTTCATTTTTTTTTTTTTGTGTCATAGCAGTCTTAAGTAATTACTCTGCAGTTCTAATACTTCTTACAGAAGTGAGCTCCTCTACTTGTGTCAGTTAAAGGTCTGGCATTTTGATGGTGTCTAGCAAACCAACGCTCTGAAACAAGCTAAAATGAACAGAAGCTTGTTTCCTTTTTGCTCACATGGGCACTTATTCACTTCCCCATCTGCTTCGACTTTGAAGACTGCTGAGGTTCTTCCTCTGTCTGACCCACTTGGCATAAGCTAGAGAGGATTATCTTTCTTCAATGGCCAAGTTTATAGGGCTTCAGCTTGTTCGTAAATAATCCTTAGAGTTTTCAGTGCTGCCTTTCTTCTTCTTTCCCCTTCAAAACTGACTTGCTGTCGTTTGTGTACAAATTGGGGAAATGCTTTTTCGGTCTCTAGATAGAGGGGAGAGTTGGTGCAGTCACTAGGCAAGAGGGCATGGAAAGTGCACTGAGGAGGTTTCACTAAATATCCACGATTTTAAAGATTTCTTTTGTAATTTCTGTTTGTGGCCCTAACAAAAGAGAGGATCATCTGTAGAGGAGATCTTTGCTCTGCTGCTCCTTGTACGAGCACAGTTTCAGAGTACAGTCAGTATGAGACAAAACACAGGACCTGCATATAGAGAGGCATCTTTATAGAAACATGGAATTTTTTAATGTACTTGAGAGAAGGACAGGGTGTTGCTCTCTTTGCTTTCACACTTGAGTACCTGCATCAGTAATTGGTTTGCATGTGTGAATGGTTATTTTAGGGTTGCATTAAAACTCTCTTTCAGCTTTACTGAAGATAATTTCTTTTTAATCTGAGATGGAAAGTTGCAGTGTTGCTGTGTTTGGGCTGTTGGGTTACAACTGTGGTACATGTGCAACTCTTAACTTCTTTGGGACTCTCT